TCAATTTGGATCATAAATATAGATCTCTATTAAATAAGTAGTGTTCACAATTAAAGGGACATGTTCATTTGGATATACATAAATTTGGAGTTAAAAATTTTGATGTTGATTTGATTGGTGTTTGTTTATGGTTTATGAAAAGTGAAAAATGAAAAATATGTTTGGAAGTTATATATATAACAAGAAAGTGATTTTTTGGAAGTATTCAATTAATTATTGCATATATAATTATTTGTCTTTACCATAATTGATTTATTTGTCTTTTGTGTGAATAACTTTGGGAGAACAAACATTTTATGCTTATAAAGAAAGTTAAGTTGTATCCAATAAGTCAATTTAAAAATATGATTAATCAAAAAGTTGAGAAAACAAAAGCTTTTGCTTTAAGCAATGTAGAAAACAAATTTGTTGAAAACAAAAGTACATAAAAGCATTCTCAATTTAACACATATATGATAATATATATGTCACTTTAATACCATATAGTATATAATAAATACATATACGGCGTACTCCTTCGTATCTATGTGATTATAGACATTACGAAAAAAAAAAAACGAATTCAGTCGTTTTCGTATCAAGTGAAAGAATAAAATCTAATATCTGTAAACAAGTCGCATAATGAAGAAAATTGTTACTTAAATTCGATCGTTAACTAAATTCTCGAACATTTATTTTATACGGATAACAAATGTGATTCGCTTTTTATCGTCAATAAATCCCTTGTAGTTTTCAAATAATTTCAATAACAACCTAACGAAATATTCACAAGAATTTAGTTTATTTGCAGGCAAAATAAATTCATGAAACCAATCATAACAACATAAGCATAACCAAGCAACACAATGTATGTTGAGATCTATTTATTAATATGGTCATTAAGGTAAACAAACATCAACTATGGATTAATGAAGTATAAGTATACCATTTCAAAAACCACATAACATATACATGACATAAATGAAATTTTATGACAAGAAGGAATATGTTTTGCTATCAATTTGTTAACCCTAGACCAAACTTTCCAAGGAAAAAATTAACAATTAGAGAATGATTCGAAACTTAAAAGCTTGTTTAAGATAATCGATTCGACAACAAATTAGGTAAATGACCGAAATATAATAAACTTTTATACCTTTATATCGGCATAACTCGAGCAAATTGGCTGTGTTTATTAGTCTTTCTGGGTCATGATCGACCAATAAAATGTGGATCTCATGCATTACTGATAGATATGATGAAGAATTGCCGAATTGCCCCATGATGTTCCTAAATATAAAATAAATGTAAATATATTTATGTTTTAATTGTTTGATTCAAATGGACATATACATTAAATTTATTGAAATAGTTAAACAATTGGATAATTTGACAAACCAAAAACGAAGAAGCTCAAATATGATTTTCAAAGATGTATAATGTAGAGGCCTAAAAACTAATAAGTGAGCATTTAGAGTTCAATGCCAACAACTAGATATTGTGAAAATATACATAACAAGGGATTTATATACACAAGTTTTGGAGTGATGAGTCAAGGATCTACGGATAAATTTTTATGATATTATGTATTTATGTAATTTTCTCATATGCGAGTATTAATTCTGAAAATTTCTTTTTTGTAATTCACACTTTCGATTTCCATGTAATTTCGACACTTGAGAAAAAGATATTCTATATAGTTAGTCATTCTATCTTTGACCAAATTTAGTCTACGGAATTCACACAACAAAGTCAATTAAATTTTAAATTTCTCAAATCTGCATTTACCTTTTTAACTTTTTTTTCCCCTCACCTTTATACACAAGAAAAAGATTATTTTTATCAACATTTTTTTTTTCACTTTAAAGTTACTTCTTAGGAAATAGCTTCATCTTCTTTTCAATACAATGAAAATTACTGAAATTTTTGTACTTTGCTTGTGAATGTTTATCTCTTACAAGTTATTACATGTATTGTTCAAAGAATGGATGTATTCGTTAATTCTATTGCATGATGTTGAACCATTTTTTTTTACTATGGACGCCATAAGTGACCAATATTATAAGTGATAATTATGTATCAATTATGAGTAGTATCAGTCATACGTATATATGATCGACAAACAATTTTATGGTGAAATATATAAAACATAACACATACTTTGATATTTTAAAATATTTATTGTACAATTATAAAAAGAAAAAAAATTGTCAATTTTGCATGTGTTTGCACTTTGCACAAGGCCTTCTTTGCTTATCTCACTTATGTTCATAATATCATGTCTTTATTTTTTCTTCTCATACCTTCTTTATGGCATATAACTACCTTATAATGATTGATGATGGTGGCACTTTAATTTGCTATAGAACATTATTACCAATTAATGAAACAATCCTCTTGATTGTCATTGTTAAAAAAGGAAGAAATGATTTTGCAGTAACACACATTAATGTGTTGAATAAATTAGTTCGTTTAGTGTTTATGTTTCAATGAAGTGCAAAATTTACCACAAACAATTTGCTGTCCTAACTGTTTAAGTATGCTTATCCTTGCTTTGAGTTGAATTCCATTAATACCATCCCCATTTGCAAAGTAGCGATACTCATGTTAATGAGTTGCTAAATTTAAGTGACTAATGAGTCTATACTATGATTTATTTAACATAATATTTTGTATGAAACGATCAAATTCAAATCACGAGACGCGTCAATCCCTCATACTTTCTTTTTTCTTTTTAATAAAAATATATATTTATGCTATGAAAAAATATATTTTGTTTATATTGTTTTTTAGAGTATGATATTTTATAATTTAAAAATGTGCATGACTATAAAAAAATATAATTATTTAACCGTTAGACCTGCATAACAGAAGTTTTACTGTTTTAATTAATAGTATTAAAGATAGAGCATACTTAACTATTAGACGAACATATTATCATACTGAATATGCATATTGTTATACAATAAGACGTCATGTCTTGAAAATAATATAAAAAAATAACAGTATGACACTTTACATAATCATAGCAGCAGTGACGGATCTAGGATTTTTACTCAGGGGGGTCCAATTTTAAATATAAAATAACGAGATTGTAGTTTAAGTTAAAACACTCATTTCATATAAAAATGTGTTTACTTATAAACATAAATATCGATATATGTAATACCAAGTTTTAAAAAATTTAGAATCTATATCACCATCAAAATTTTAAAAAAAACAAAAATAATAGATTTCATGTACTTATAATTTAATTTCAACATCTATAATTTATAAAAAATTAAGTTTTTTAATTTAAAATTTGATTTAAATTTAATATTTACAGCACATTGAATTGCATTTTTGTTGATTAGAGCTTATCAAACGACCACTTTTTTAACAAAAAATAAATAAATAAAATTAAAAATATGTGATTACACAAAAAATACTAACAATCCAACTAAATACTCGGTTTTATAAATCACTAAATCGATTTACAATTAAGAGGCCGAAAGAGTATCATTATAAACATGTTTAAAAAGTTATCTAATAATGTAAAATATAAGGATCATTAGTATATTTTTCAATAAATAGCATAGAAACTAAATTTTAATTATTTATATTAATTTAAATGAAGATATCATAAAAACAAAGTTTTAATTATTTATTTATATATATATATATATATAATGATATTTAAAAAATGAGGGGGGTCCATGGCCCCTCCTGAACCCCATGTGGATCCGTCTTTGCATAGTAGTACACATAGTTGAAATAATACTCTCACAGTTCTTATATTAAAAATTGGTTTTTATTTGAACCAACTATACTATACACACGCAATGACACATAGTTCACACTTAATTGAGAAAATTGCAGTTTTAGTTTAGTAACATATGTTGTTTCATATTTTCGTCCAGTATATTAGTCGGTTTTAAAATTGGTCCAAAAACTCTTAAATTTTAGCCAATCTAGTCATATTTCGATCCTGATCACCGGCATTTTATCAGAAGTTGTTGAGTTGGCCAATTTTGACGTTGACTAGGCTGATGTGGACTGATTTTCGGTATATTAACTGATATGACCACTTTCATTTTTTCCACATCATTTTCCCTTAAAATAATTAAAAATTTCACCCCCCCATTTGAAAAAAATAAAAATTAAAAATAAAAAAAATTGAAAAAAAAAAACTCACCTTCCTCAACACCTCCAAAATTGTTCGATTGCTCTCCCAATCGCCGTCACCGCTCAGGCTCGTCGCGCCAATGAAACGCGCGTTTTTCGACCTCTCCGGCGCCTTCCTCCTGAAAATCTAGAAGCCCAGCTACCCGCTTCTGCTCATCAAAATCTCGTTGTCCGGTAAGTTCATCGAAACCTCAACCTCGATCTCGCGAATTTCTGCTCCTGGTGAGAGTTTGATGGGGGCTCACGGCCGGGTGCCGCGACAAGTGCTTAAGGATGCTTTTGGGGTGGTCATTGGTGAATTTGAGTCATCGTTGGCAACGGTCGAGCTTCGCTTCTGTGTGAAGGACCCGTCACCGCCCAGGCTCGCTGCGCCAATGAAACGCTGCTCGACCTCTCCGCGCCTTTCCCCCAAGGATCTAGATGCCCAGGTGCCCACTTCTTCTCATCGAAATCCCATTGTCCGGTAAGTTTATCGAACCCTCAACCTCGATCTCGCAAATTTCTGCTCCTTGGTGAGAGTTTGATGGGGGTTCACCGTTCACGGCTGGGTGCCGCGACGAGTGCTTGAGGATGCTTTTGGAGTTGTTGTTGGTGAATTTGGACCCTCGCTGGAAACGGACGAGCTTCGCCCGCAAGGTGTTACACGATTTTCCTGTAAAGGACCGCCGGCGCAATGGAGAAGAAAACGGAGTTGACCATGGAAAAACGGATGTTCCTCAGGGTGCATGGTTCAGCGGCGCAGTGCTGGAGTGGATCATGCGAAGGAGGTGGCAGCGGGGTCATCCTGATTGATGACGCGGGTTCTTGGGTTAGATTTTGTGAGGTTCTTCACGGTGACCGGCGAATGACGTGAAAAAAAAGAATTCATATCAGTTAATTTTCCAAAAAAATATGTTAACATCAGCCTAGTCAACGTCGAAATTTGCCAAGTCAACAACTTCTTATCGAATTCCGACAATCGGGAACGAAATATTACTAAAATGACTAAAATTTAATAGTTTTTGGACTAATTTTAGATCCAACTAAATTACTGGACGAAAATGAGAAACGGTCTATGTTACTGGACTAAAACTGCAAATTTTCTCACTTAATTTTGCTCATTTGGACACCCTTAAGTGTTGTTGTTAGACATATTAGAGCATCTCCAATGGCTCAATGTCTATTTTGAGATGTATAATGTGGAGAAAGAAAAAAAAAATTGTCTATAATGATTAATCTCAATTGTGGGATAATTTGACACATGTAATTATTGTAATATAATAATTGGTTAATAGAAACATAAATATAAAATAAATAATATAATGTAAAATGGAAGATGTTCTTAGTTAGTGTGCCAAAAAAATATATTTCCTAAACTATTTTATTCATTTAATTAGTTTGTTGTTGTTGTGTATGTGTACATAAAACCACTTGATTGCTCATTTCTTTATTTATTTATTTTTTCGTTGAGTGAAAAAATTAATTAAATAAGCTACATGCTGCCGTCAAGTGTAACAATCACTACAAGAAACTGAAAAAATTTCAATGGAAATACATTCAAATAGAATTCCAACGTAATTCCAATAGATATTTTTCAATGCTATTATTTCCGTTAGAATTTTTCAATTGATTCTAACGGAAATTCCAACAAAAATATTCAGTTGTATTGAGTTTTTCATTAGAATTTTTAATAGATATTGACGATTTCAATGGTAGATTTTTCAACGGGGATAGAAATAAAAATTTCAACGGAAATTGCATATTCATCCTACTGTAAAAAGCCGTTGGAAATATAGTCGTTGGAATCACCAAATTTCATCTAAAATTCCAATGAAAAACACATTCCAACGGAATATTTTAGTTGGAATCATTTCAACGGAAGCTATACCATTGGAACATCCGTTGGAATTTTCAATGAAATAAATTACCATAGAATTTTCCGTTGGAATATAAAAAAAAATTTTGTAGTGAATTAGGCAGTTGGATTTATTATATTTAGAAAAATATATTTTCACAATAACACTATATATACATATAGTAAATGTACAAATAATAACGCCATATAATATTGAAAATAACCTTATACATAAATAGTAACATATATAGTTCTCAAATAAGACTTGTTTTTATTAAAGGGAAGTACTATAGGTACATACAGATGTACATAAAGATTTACATAATATTCACATTGAGTGAGACCTACTAAAAATAAAAAAATTAAATGGACCCCACTACATGTGAATGTTATGTACATTTTTATGTACATTCATTATGTACACATAGCATTTTCTTTTTATTAATTAAGATCTTATATATATGAATCAAGCAGGAACTAAACTAATTCTTGATGTAAGAATTAGAAACCCTGCTAAAATATGCTATATGTACCGCTAATTAAATACAATCTATTCACAATTAAAATATATGCATTGTTGATGTAAGAATTAGAAACCCTGCTAAAATATGCTATATGTACAGCTAATTAAATACAATCTATTCACAATTAAAATATATGCATTGTTAAAATATGTGATTTATCCTACTTTTATATATGAAGTTTTTACATCAGCTAAATATAATGTTGTACACAACTAGCAATATAAATGCATTAGTACATTTATATTACATGGGCTATTTTATATATACCACAACTGCTAAAACTAACTAGTACAGAGCCCGTGCGATGCACGGGATGCACAATTTTAAGGCTATTTATCTGGACTTATAATTATATACATGTATACAGAAAAATGTACGGGATATATATAGTACGTGACCCGTGCGAGGCACGGGATATATTTATTTGAAGAATACTATATTATAAGATGCAGTATTCAATAAAAGTTTAATAATACGCAGGAAAATTGTACAATAAGATAGTATTTGACAAACAAGCAATATATATTATTAAAGACCTCCTTGTACACAACATTATGAGTTTGATTTTCCATACAATAATAATACGATTTTTTGTAAAAAGATAAGAAGGAATTTTCAATCTACACAAACTTTAAACATTAGATGTATTTACGTAAATCAATGACTATATAGACAACTAAACCCTTCAATTTAGACTTGACATCTACTTTATTTATGGGTGACGTAAAATAAGGATTTAATTTTGACCGATTAAATCTTTATTCATAGGCTTGACATATAAAACTGATTTGATGGGATTTTCTTAACTAAACCGATATTATGGGATAAAACAAATCTATACTTACCTTTGACTTTTCCAGCAAATGTAAAAAAATCGGTTCTGATTTTTATCCCATAACAAATCTTTAATGTCAAGCCTATAAAGACCAAAACAAATCTGTAATTAATATCATTCTATTTCCAGCATGCATTAATTACCTTTGACTTTTCTGCCTACTATTTCTAATAAATAGGATGGCTTTTTATATAAGTATAGATTTCATATAATGCAAAGACTGAGATCATAAAAAAGAATCCTAAAAACTGAAACAATATATTTGCATAATTTAAAGCCATTAAGAAATCGATCTCTAAATCAGATTTGATTTTCATAATATGTTTTTTTTTATTTCGATTTCTATACAAAATGGAATTCTTTCCAACCAATAGATGTCATAGCAAATATTAACTCTTAATTATTAGACTATTAGTAAATACCGAGCAAATTGTGTACTGAATTTAGAAAGTTAAAATGACTCATGTTAGGTAATTTTACATTTTATGCATGTTGAACGGTGGGTTTTAAATATTGTTTCATAGAATGTAAAAGTGTATTATATTATTTTTATAAGATGTTGAATTTGAAAATTAATAGAATTCTTCTTCATACGAATTTTAAATGTAACAATATTCTTTGGTATACACTACTAATAAAATCTATATTTAAAGTTTATATTTTTTTTTACTGGAAAAAATTCTTTAATTTAAGGAATCATATATTTTCAATCAGTCCACATCTATATACATTCTTCACAATTTTAAATCTTGAATTTGATGAGAATTCGTATCTATGAGTGCAAAATATGGTTTAACAAATTAATTTTTTATTATTATTCCAGCCATACTTCTTTATACGATTTTTTGTGAAAATACAAAAGTAAATTCTTAATTTTAAATCAGCCGTACATTAAAGAGTACAAATTTGTTGAAATTACAAAAGTAGTTTTTTACTTTTAAACAGACGTAAATTTAAATCAGTCATAAAAAAGTAATATTTATTTACCATTTAAATATTAAATCAGCCGTAATTAATGTTGTTTGTTTTAGTTTCCACGATTTTCTCCAAACTAAATTAACAACTGCCATGATTTAAGGGCAACATTTAATGCTAATCTATTTTTAGGAGACATTAAATGTATTTGGCGGGAAAAGCTTGCTAAAAGAGTTAAATGGTTAATCTTTTAATATAATGATAGATATTATAAACTGCTAAGCAGTAACATATTTTAGTAGACATAATAATACTGGTTTCTACCATATCCTAATCATATATGTACTATAATTATAATTCATTAAGCTTTCTACAAATATTTTCCCTTTCTTTTATTTCATTAATTGAACGTGTAAAAGTAAAAAATACTAACCATATATGCTGCAGAATGCAACTTTGATAAAGTAATATAAATAATTTTTAATTTGTATACTATAATACAAACCTCAAACTCGCCTAAGTTAGATCTTATCAATTCAACAAAGATAAATCTTATTCATAAAATCCAAATGGTCAATATTAAATGTACACACTAAAAAGATACATAGAAAAATATGACTGAATGGTTCAAGGATTGTTTGAGAGTAATTATGTAGATCTAATGTTCGAAATCTTATTTATAATTTGATTTTGTTATCACGTAATTTAGTAATGTGAATACGAGCATGTCCATTTTTTATTCATTTTATGGTTTTTCTTGTATATATGAGTGATCTTTATATATAAATACAGAGTTTTTCGAGCACATTTGTCAAGGTCAATTGCTTTGTAATCTTTATGTGTCGGTGCTTCTTAGTTTCTTTGTGTCATTTTATAGTCTTAATCATATTTGTCATTTTCTAGTGCTTTGGATTAGTACATATATATTTGGGTATCTATCTATTCCTATTAGGACTTTCAATATTATACAGCATTTAATTAATTTAAATTATAAATATATTTTAAAATTCAATAATTTTCGTATTTGTTATCATATCTATATATATATCTATATATAAAGAAAATAATTATTTAATAAAAATAGTAGCAAAAAGTTCTAGGAACATTTAATGCAATATTTATTTGAAAACTTTTTAACTATATGCATTAATTGTTTGCATGTACATATTTGCAAATCAGACATGATAAAAAAGATTCTTTCTTTGTATAATTTATTTGACTTCTGCAATAATTTTATTGATATCCTATTATAATAAACTACAATTTAATTTTTAGTGATTTATGTTGATAATATTTTGATTAACACAAAATAAATTTTAAATCTTAACCATATTGTTAATTTTTTCACAAATATTGACTTTAATCCTAAAATATTTATAAACAATCGTAACATGTTAAATAATTTTCTTTTTCTAACTAAGTAGGCGAAATCAATTTGATGAATTAATATTTATCGATAATGTTTCTTAACATTTATTTAATTATATAAAGACAAATAATTTTTTTAAGTTAATATAATTTACCATGTAAGAGATAATGATGGCATCATTAAATAATTTTATTAATGGCTAGATAATAAAATTAAAATATATTAACTATTTTTAAAATTTCAATATGTGATTTATTTGTTTATTATTGTCAACCATGATAATTTCTTTATCAATTTTTTTTTATGATTTGTTTC